TGGCAACCGGATACAGGGAGAACTCTCCTCAAGGTAGAGTCTGAGAATGACACTTGGATAGATGGAAGTGGTGGTGACAACAGGCAGGAGCCTGGCATCCCAGACCCACCCCCACTACTCCTTCCTAAACAGGTCTACCCCAGAGACCCTCCCCACTGCCTGTCCCAGAGCTTGTGAGTTTGCTCCCCTCTCCTCTCCCTGAAGGGGGACAGCAATGCAGACCTGGCCAGACACCCCCTCCTCCATACCCCCATGGCCTCCACCTCTCCCCCCCATCCCCGTCTCCCACACCCCTTCCCACACACAAATCTGTACCTCTCTGCCCCACCACACACAGTTGCTCACAGACGTTCATTCACATCTCACGAATGTTTGCTGAGTCTACCAGTGTGGCCACCATCTCTGAGCTGGGGGTCCAACTGGGGCCAACAGGTTGGGCGTACACGTGACTCCAAGGGGTCACAGACTGACAGTTACACAGGGGCAGCACACAGCAGAGGCCCAGGGCACCCAGCACAGCATGCCATGCAGGAAGGCACCCCTCAGGAAGGCTGTGAGCTGACTAGGTGGGGAGAGGGGAGCATCTTCACAAGGAGAAGATTAAAAAGGTGTGGGAAAGGATTGCAGGGGAAGGAGGCTGCTGCAGTCTCCCAGGGCAGGTGAGGGACAGGTAGAGGGGGTAGAAGAGAGGGCTGGGTGTCGGGCCAGACTGGCTAACAACAAGAAGCTGTATGCAATAGCTTCATCTCTGAGCCCATCACCTGTCAACTAGGGCAGCAATACCACCTAAGAGGAGGTGATGCAGGAGCTAGACAAATGGAACAAAGTGCCTCTGCAGAGGCACAAGGGAGACTCCACCTGCTCAGATGGGGAGGCAAAGGCAGGAGCAGTTCTGGGAGCAATGACAGTGGACAGGCTGCCTGTGGTCACCTGGGAAGCATCCAGCAGGCACTGGCTCAGATGCTGACAGAGCCCAGAGGACAGGATGGGCTGATACAAGTGGGACAGGATCTGCACCAAGGAGGGAACAGAAGCTGTGGCTGGGAGAGAGGGTGTAGGTTCAGGTCCTGAGGAATGAGGACACTGAGGGCCCCAAGAGAGGAGGGTGAGGCTGTAGGAAGGTCTGCAGGGAGGCCAGAGGAGATGGAAGCTTCCAGTGGGCCTGCAGAGCCCAGGCGACAAATGCCTAGGAACAGGGCCAGTGAATGCCTGTGGGGCCCAAAACATCCACAGGCCTCCGAAGACCATTTCCCTGGAGCAAAGGGGGTGCAGCAGATTGGAGTGGGAGGGAGGGAGTGGGAGGTGAGGATATGGAGTGAGCAAGCAGAGAATACGGCTTCAGAGTCCGCCTGCCTGCGTAGGGGATGAGAGAAGGGCAGGAAATAGCAGAAAGGGAGACAGCTGAAAAGGTTTGTTGTTGTGTTAAAGCTGGGAGAAGCTGTATGCAGTAACTTCGCCTCTGAGCCCATCACCTGTCAACTAGGGCAGCAACACCACCTAAGAGGTGATGCAGGAGCTGGACAAATGGAACCAAGCGTCCCAAGTGCCCAATGCTGTGCCCCGGGGTTAGCTCCCTGCCTCAGGGGCTTATCACATGTGTCCCACAGGAGAAATGGGGTGCTCTCCTCTGAAGAGTCGGGGAGACCCACTGAGGCCCAGCCTAGGGCCCGTCGTTGAGCTCGCACTCACCCACTGCTCCCTGAAATCACCCTGCCACAGAACCCCTCAGCCAGAAGGGACACAGCTCCTGCCACATGGTTCCTGGCGGCACCAGGCTGTCCCTGGCCCCCTGTGGTGCTCATGGTGGGGAAGAGGACCAGAGTGCTTTTCTCGTATGCTGTGTTCACCTCCTGGCCCCAGCGCACTGACCCTGACGAGCTTCCCTGTCACGTACGTAGGTGAGGTGCAGAGAAGCTTCCTGGGCAGGACCACTGGCGTTGCCCGAATCATGCTTAAAGGCACCAATGTGTTTCCCAGGAAATGCTTTTGCAGACAAGAGCATCCTGAGCCCTGACACCACCACACTGTCCACCTTCAGGCAGGGACAGCAACAGGCCCCACCATGGCCCTGGTAGGATCAGTGTGGATGCTAACACTTCCACACTCTTGGCCAGATACCTCTCTGAGCTCTCTTCTCAGGGCCTAGGAACATCCCCCAAGCATGTTCCCAAAGTCCTCCCTGCCCCAGGGAACCTCCTCCTATGCCCTGGCCCTATCCTTCCTGCACTCTGACCAAGCCAGGACTTGGTGGGGCTTTCCTTTCCATGATTCCCGCCACACCATTGCCAGGTTGACCTCTGCTGACCTTCCCAACCCAGCTCCAGTTTTGTTAGACTGGCACTTCCTGGTGTCCCCGTGCAGACATTCTGAATGGGTCCAAAGAGGCTAGGCCCTTGCATTCACACTCTGACACATACACACGTACTCACAGCCCTCTGTGCCCGGAAAGAGGTGAGAAGGGTATGCACTCTGGAAAGAGGGCAGAGTGTCCTCCTCAGCCCCCCTCAGGACAGGGGGCCCTGACATGTGACCAGTGGATGTCAGAGGCCCTCCCCCATGGCAGCTTCCCTGCTGTGCCACCTGAGCACCCAGTTATGATGGCCTCCCTCCCCACCCCTGCCTCCTCAGACTGTAAGAAAACATTCATCGGATGGAGGTGGACACCAGAGGGCAAAGGGCACTGAGTGGCAGCCTGGAGTGGGTGGGAGGCTTGGAGACAGATCTCAGCTCTGAGAGAAAACCAGCCCAAGTAAGCAGGGCTACAGCAGATGGCCTCAGGAGGGAAGAGTGAGGGAGGAGGAGTCCCAGCAGGGGCAGAGGAGGGATGGGCCAGGACTGGGAGCCACACTGAGTCAACCACCTGGAAAGGCCCTGGTCTGTCCTTCCACCATGTCCCTGGCCCAACCCTAGCAGGCCTCGTGGGGAGGCCAGGGGCCCTTTTCTGGGAAAGGGTCATGCAGAGTGAGTACCCTATACCAGTTGCACCCCCAAACCCCCATCCCCAGGGCAGTTGGACCTCCTAGCCCTGCACCTTCACTTGACCTATTTGACAAATGTAGCTTCTGTGATACATGTGTCTTGAGAATAGGGTTCTATTCCAATTCGGCTCATTATTCTACAGGGGAGACAGGTGTGCTCAGGGGCTCTCAGGTCACACCTGAGCATCCAGCTTCAGCATGCTCTCCTCTGGAGGGCCAGGTGACAGACTAGTGGGTCTGTTCCTCACCTGCCTGGGGTGCCACTTGTGCTAGGGATGCCCTCCCTACTCAGCCTGGGCTCACCAGCCCCCGGCCTTGCTCAGGCTTGCCCTGCACAAATGCTCATGGTGCTGGCATTTCCTCCTCTACCTCTGCCTGCAGTTGCTAAGTTACACCAAAAAACCCTCTGCTCTGTGTGAACTGTTCCATCTCCACAATTTTCCAGGTGGAAGGGAGCCATCAGGCTGGCAGTTGGAGAAAAACAAACTTGCTGGCAGGCTTTCAGGTCCCCTTGGCATACCTGAGGACACCTGCTGTGCTGTCAAACCCAGGAGCCATGTGCAAGAGTACACGGCTACCCTGGGAGGGTGTCACCATGCAAGTCCACACTGCTCACTCCCTTCTCAGGCAGGGCCTGTGGATTTCGCTGCCACCCCTGCCCAGGCTGCTGGGTCATATGACCCACGTCCCTAAGAACTAAGAAAAGCTGGAGGGGCAGAGAACCCACCCAAGTGCCCGGAGCCAAGGTCCTCTGCATCCTCTCACTAGGGATTCCCTCCTCCTATTCTGGGCTGGGGTCCTGAGGTTCCACTGCAAAGTATCACTGGGTGTCAGGGAGTAAATGTCCTCATAAGTCACTGAAACCATGGTGTCATCCTACAGATGGGGAAACGGGAGTCTTGGAGGGGCCTGCAGACATCAAAACCTGTGGCCTCTCAACTCCCTATTTCTCTGCTGGAGATGGGAGCTGCTGCTTGCTCTCTAGGCCTCCTATGCAGAAGAAGAGCCTGGACTCAGGCGAGGCTGGGCAGGGCAAGACTGTCCAGAGGGAGATGGGAGACCCCTGAGGGGCACAGCAGGCCACCGCCACTGGGAGGTCTCCCTGCATGCCAACCTGACTCTGTATGCCCTGAGCTCCTGGGGCAGGTGGCCATCTGGGCCCTTCCCTTGCTCCAGAGGGTGGGAGAAGAATGTCAGCAGTGGGGAGGGTGAATCAAATGGGACCCCCAGCTTTAAGCAAGGAAGGTGCGAGCCCCAGCCAACACCACATCTCAGCCCCCAAGCGGCTCCCAGGAGGCAGGAGGCCTCCCTGTAAATATCCACCAGCTTCAGCTCTCAGAAGCAGGGGACAAGGGCCTGCTGAGTGTCGCTCCCTAGACAGAAGGAACCCCCTTCCCCCATCACACACGCAACCAGAACGAGTTGCACCTGCCCCAGACCCTGCTCCCTGCAAGGCCTGGGGCAAAGAGAGTCCTTCAAATGACCCCTGCCCACGGTGCAGACAGGGCCATCTAGTCTTGGCCAAGCTGTCTCCCCTCAAATGCTGAGCTCACCCCCAATTACTCGCCAAACAGCAAGGGCGTGAAATGCCATCGCGGGGCTCAGAACGCACACAGGCAAGCAAATGGAAACTTCCAACTGCGCAGCCCTGATTTCCTCATATTCCCCAGCCCCCTCCCCCACGCCGGGTCGGGGCAGCAAACCTGCCAGCCAGTGCCCACGCCCGCCTGCCGAGTGCGCTACCGCCACGCCCAGGCCGAGACCGCCCGGTGCCCTGCAGGGGCGCGGGACTGGGGGCCCCGGGCGGAGCTCTCGGTAACTCGGCGCTGGGCTCCAGCCCGCCCTCCTGCACGCGCGTTCCGGGACCCGCGCCGGGACCCCGCACCCCGGCCCCACGACGGCCGCGCCAAGCAGGACCCCGGGCCCGCGTACGCCCCGCCTGCCCGCGCCGGCGACCGGAGGGGACGGCCACCCGGAGGGAGGTAGGGACCAAGGAACTGAGAATCGGCGGCTGCTGCCTACCTGGGTCCGGGCCAGCGTAGCTCCCGCGTAGCCCTCGCGCCGCAGTCCGGCCCGGAGCAGCGCGCGGCCCGCTGCAGCTCATGCTCCGCACTCGGGCCGGAGGCACCCGCCCACCCGCGACCGCCCCCGCGCTGCGCCAGCTGAGGGCAGAGCAGCTCTCTCCGCAGCCGGCGCCGGGGAGCGCGAGCTAGCGCTGAGGGAGAACGGAGCAGGCCAGAAGCGGGCGGGCGCGAGAGCGTGGGGAGCTGGCGGGTGCAGGGCGAGGGTGTGGGGCCGGCTCCGGGAGAGGAAGGGCGCCCGGCGGGCGCGTTGAGAGGGAAGTGTGGGATGGAGGTGCCAGGAGAGGTAAAGCGCATAGCCAGGACGCGGGGCGGGGTCCGGGGTGAGCAGCGAAGATGGGGCTCAGGAAGAGAGCAGGCCAGGCTTTTATTTTAAAAAAGACAAGGCAACAAATAACTCAAAAAGTGTTCTGGCCACCTCGTGTAAAAGACCCTTTGGGTACTCGCAAGAGCTGCCAGAATTTTTATCAGTGGCATCTGACAGAGCAAGCGCTTCCGTGGGCAAATCCTGGTCCCTTTGGTTATTCCCTTTAAACATTACAACCACCCTGTAAGTTTGGTGTTGGTGGTGTCCCCACTGGACAATTGAGCAAAGTAGTGGTCAGGGAAGTGAAGTGACCCTGCAGGATTTCAGAGCTGGGCAGTGTCAGAGCTAGGGTCCAAAATCACCTTGAGAGATTCCATAGTCCCCATTTTCCAAAACCACTAAGAGAAGGATCCAGGTCTTCTGACTCCCAGTGGAGCCTCCTGTCATTATGAAGGGACGTCCCTGTTCTCTGGTGACAACTCTGGAAGTCAGGAGTGATCCTTGCAGGCAGCATGAACTCAGTTGAATGAAGAACAGGTCTGGGGCCAGGAAGTCCACAGGGTGGAGGGGTCTAGATAGAAGAATGAGGAGGTACCCCATAGCACCTCTTGGAGAGACTAAGGACCTTTCTTATTCATTCAGTACATGTTTATTGAACGCCATTCTGGGTACCGGGATAATGGTGTGAATGTCCTTGTCTGGGTGAACTTTGCATTCTTGTAGGAAGCAGGCAATAAAAGCACACAAAAAAAATTTCGTACAAGGTGTGACAATTAAGTTTGTGAACTTGTTGCAGTTATGTTGCTAACCTTATTTGATATCAGAGGGATTATTCATTATGAATTTGTACCAACTGGACAAACAGTTAACCAAATTTACTATTTGGAAGTGCTGGAAAGGCTGTGTGAAAAAGTTAGATGACCTGAACTTTTCGCCAACAATTCATGGCTCTTGCACCAGCTCACATGGCACTATCTATGAGGGAGTTTTTAGCCAGTAAACAAATAACTTTATTGGAACACCCTTTCTAGTCCCCTGATCTGGCCCCCAGTCACTTCTTTCTTTACCCAAAGGTAAAGGAAATATTGAAAGGAAGACATTTTGATGATATTCACGACATCAAGGGTAATACAATTGCAGCTCTGATGGCCATTCCAAAAAGAGTTCCAAAATTGCTTTGAAGGGTGGACTAGGCTCTGGCATCAGCTTCCCAAGTGGAGTACTTCAAAGGTGACCATAGTGATATTCAGCAATGAGGTATGTAGCACTTTTTCTAGGATGAGTTCGCAAACTTGTCAGACCTGGTATATCAAGTGATGCAGATGCTCTGGAGAAAATTGTGGCAGGGAGATAGGATAGGGAGTGCAATTTGTAGAGTTAGTTATTTTATTCTGGGTGGTCAGGGAAGTCTTTAGTGAAAGGGTGACATTTGAGCAAAGATCTGACTGAGACAAGCCATGCTGAATCTGAAGAATGAACATTTGAGGCAAAGGCTCTGACGTGGGAGTATGCCTTGGGCATGTGTGAGCAATAATGAGGAGGCCAGAGTGGTGTGGGAAGGAGTGAGAGCATGGTAGAGAGTGAGATCCCAGGAGGTGCCAGGGTGACCAGATCTAGAAGAGCCTGGTTGGCCATTGGCCCACTGTGGCTTTGACTCAGAGGGAGTTGTAAAGCTGGTAGAGGGTTCTGCAGAGTAATGTTATGGTCTGACTTTTTTTTACAAAAACATTTTATTATGGAAAATTTCAAACATTTACAAACATAGAAGCTAAGAAGGTGTAATAAACCCAATGGCCCCACTTCAACAATTATCAATACATGGCCAACTTTGTTTCATCTATACCCCCACTCACCACTCCCTATATTATTTGTTTAAGTGAATATTTATAACTTTTTTAAAAAGATTTTATTGGGGAATTGGAGGAGGGGAACAGCTCTGGGGAATCAGGGGAAGGGGAACAGACAAGTTGCTGTCCTTTTGTTCTTCAGTCTAGTTGTTAAGGACGCCACCTCACTGGCCCATGTTTGTATTATGATCATTGTGCTCTTCCCTGCTAAGGCAGTGAGTCGCCAGCCATTGAACAGCCGCACACGGCAGCCCACTGCAGCCCCCCTGCAGCCTTTGCCATGGCCGGCAACTCATGGCAGCCCAGCTCCAGGTTGAGCTGTTGTTCACCATCTTAGCTGTAGAGGGCGCAGCATCACTGGCCCATATGGGAACCGAATTGGTAGCACTGCTGCTCAGAGCTTGCACTCCCAAGCCAACTGTTAGCCAACTAACCCACTTGACCAGCCCCTGATATTTTTTAATTTCCATTTTGACTTCTCTTTTGGCCCATGAGTTATGTGTTGCTTAGTTTCCAAATATTAGGGATTTTCTAGTTATTGTCCTGTTATCGAGTTCCAATTTAATTATACAACAGGCAGGGGATATATTCTGAATGATTTCAATTCTCTGAAATCTGTTCATACATTCTTTATAGCCCAGAATATGTTCTGTTTTGGTAAATGTCCCATATGCCCTTGAAAAGAATGAATACTCTACTCTATATGTATCAGTTAGGTCAGGTTGTTTAATCAAGTCCAAATCTATATTTCTACTGAATTGTATCTCATATTCTGTCAGTTCCTGAGACAATCTAGGAACAATCCAAAAGTCCTTCAGTGAGTGAATGGATAAACAAACCATGGTACATCCAGACAGTTGAATACCACTCAGCGGCAACATGAATGATTCTCAAAAGTGTTATGTAAGGAGCCAGGCTCAAAAGGTTCCAAACTGTATGATTCCATTTATATAACATTTATATGACTTTCTAGAAAAGGCAAAACTGTAGAGATGGAGAACAGATCAGTGGTCCCCAGGGGTTGGGGGAGGGTTAATTCTAGCATGGGGATATTTTTAGGTGCCATGAAACTGTATCTGTATCATGATTTGTGGTGGTGGTCACATAACCCTATGCGTTTGTCAGAACTTAAAATAGCTGTACACCGAAAATAGTGAATTTTACTGTATGTAAATTTTCAAATAATTTTTCATCTCTATGACTCCCTTGTCATCTCCTTTTGTTCAGATGTTGTCCATAGGTTTTTCTTTTTCCCTCCTTTTTGCTGTATCTATTATTATGGGGAGGGGGAAATCAGGATACTGCCAATAAATATAGCATTGCTACTGTTGCCATGAAGATGAAGTCTCTAGGGTACACAAGGGAAGTGGATAGAATAATTAAAAGGCTGTTGTGGGCTGGCTGAGTGGCGCAATGGTTAAGAACTGGCTTTGGGACACCAGAGGGCCCCAGTTCAGATCCCACATATGAGGGCTAGTGACACTGCCCTCCACAGCTAAGATGCTGAACAACAGCTAAACCTGGAGCTGGGCTGCCATGAGTCTCTGGCGACGGCCTAGGCTGCAGCCCCTGTGGCAGTGGGTTGCCATGGGTGTAGCCAGCAGCCAGCGTGAGCGGCCAGCAGCCGCCGTGAGTGGTAGTCCAGAAGCCGGCAACTGATCTGCCTCACCCAGGAAGAGCTCAATGATGGTGCCAACTTGGGCCAATGAAGCAACGTCCTCCACAACTAGACAGAAGAACAAAAGGACAGCAACTTGTCTGTTCCCCTTCCCCCAATTCTCCAGCGCTGTTCCATCCCCCCAATTCCCAAATAAAAATCTTAAAAAAATAAAATAAAATAAGGCTGTTGCAATTGTCAGATGACATAATGGTGGCTTAGACCAGGATAGTCGTGCTCATGGTAATGAGAACTGTTTGTAATGGGATATGTACTGCAGATAGAGCCAAAAGTGCTTGGATCAGAGAAAAGGGAGGAGCCCACAATCCTTTTGCCCCAAGCACTCCTGCTGTCCACCTTCCCCATGTCGGGAAGTGTGCCCTGAGATGCACCTGCATGGTGGGATAGTGGTAACACTTTGTGTGTTGCTTTATTGGGGTTGGCTTTGGAGTAGAGGGAGTTCTGCAGGTTGTGGAACTAAAACACATATGACCATGACAATTCAGCCACTCCACTGTTCCTGTCATATGCAGATGTTGTTTTGCTTCAAATGTGTCCCCCTTCAAGACCTCTGTTTCCTTGTTGAGTCTCAAATACAAGACTGCTAAGTCTCATCACAATGTTCAATGGTGAAATCTTGTATTACTGTGGCCCCCATTCCTTTTCATTTAGAATCAGAATAAAATTGTACTGTATTTCAAATATCTAACAACAACAACAAAAGACCTCCCATCACAACAACTGCCCCGGCTTATAGCATTTTCCTCCCATGGGACCCAATTCAGTCTGCACTAGGTCCTTGGATCTGATTCCTTCCCAAACCAGGTCTCCCTGGATTTCAGCTTTCTCTCTCCTGCCTTCACTGGCCTCCCCTTTTAGCCCTGTTTCCATAGAACGGGTTTCCAGTTGTTCCTTTGCCAATAACCCTAGATTTCCTTGCTCCTCTTACCTTCATGTCTCCCACCTGGCAAAACTCCAGTGACAGCCACATCCAACTTTGCCTTCTCCACATATCCCCTCAGGTGTCTAAGTGCTGCGAGAGGCAATCACACAGCCCTGATCACTCTCAACTCACAATAAACTCATCAGTGGAACTAAGAATTCAACACTACTCAGTCATCTCTAATGGTTCTCTTGCTCCTCTTCTTAAACTATGAAATATGTCACACATACAGAGGAGTGTCTGAAATGTATGTGTACAGTTTCAAGAATAATCACAACGAGAATGGAACCAGTTTTACTTAAGACGGAAAGAATAGGGCCACAGGGAGAGAGGGGGAAGGAAGAGAAGGAAGAAGTGTGGGAAGATAAAGAAGGGAGGAGATGAGATCATCCTTAAGAAAAAGTGCAGCCACCACCTCAGCCAGGACTAGATTTCAGTGGCCTAGAACAGAACCAGGATGCCATCCTGTCCCTCAAGGTGAACTTTTGCTAATTACAATGGATTCTAATATTATTAGCATTGA